TATAAAAATTTTATTGTAGATATATAACATAAACACATCAACATAGAAAAATTCAATACAGTTATATTGTAACAATATTCAAACACATTCGCTATTGCTAAGGTTTCTACGACTTTAACTGTCTTATAAGCATCTTGATCCATCAAGGTATTACAATATTGTATGACTGAAGGAATACACTGGTATGCTATGTCAGAGCATGAAATTACAATTACACTATGCTTAATAGGCGGCTTCATACTCCTTACGTCTCAAAATCTCTTAATTTTCAAATGGGAGTATATCATTTTCGTGAGCGGGATTTGGCGGGACAATACGATTTTCTTTCAAAATCAAAAATATTCCAAGGTGTTATTCATCGGGAAGTAGTATCATGGGATAAATTTAGATATATCATTGCATCCCACGACCGGTTTGATTATCAATACGCAATCAGCCTGGTACTGGTCAACAGTAATAAATAACAGACGCTAATAAGACACAGGATCCAATCAGGTTAATTATCGTCTTTTATTGTCTTAAGTCTCAGCGTACCTTGTAAGATAATCATTCCCGTTTGATTTTGTTTGAATCGAAATTAAACGGAGGAGGGGGGGGGGGGGTGAACATTTAAATCTTAATTTTATTCCTTACAATAGTTAAGAAAACAAACAAAAGACCATTCACTTATCCATCAATTTCCGTGCTCTGCGGATGTTTGGCTACTTTGATTACAGAAAAGTCTGAACATCATCCAGGACTCTGATTGCAGCAGAAGTCGTCTAGGACTCTGATTATAGAAAATATCGTCTTAGCCTTTGATTACAGAGATCGTCTAGGTTTTCATCTTTAGACCCACCTTGTGGATTGAGTGTATCATGATCACTTCCAGAGTGATGGGGGCAGGGGGTTCACATTAAACAAAATTGGTCATCACTTAAGTTTAAAAAAAAGCTCAGAATGATGAAAAACTGCACGATTTTAAATAAATTTTGGAGAAAGGCGTTCTTGAACCCCCCCCCACCCCCTTCTCTGACTAGGGGTCTGACTTTGTCAAATGTCATGGAGGTCGCAATTATATTCATAGAAAAGCATAAATTAAATAACTTCCCCACATTTTTACGTCTTTGCCTCTCTATGTTTGATTTTTATTTTCTTATCCCTCAGGAAAAAAACTAAAAATAGAAGGACATGTGATTTGATCGTATATCCTATACCCCAAAGGTCTCAAAAGTTTTAAATTATTTTTGAAAAACCTCTACCACAGAAATAACACCGGAGGAGATGGAAATGACTTTGAGCCTTGCAAGTTAATGTTTCAAAAGTACACAAGCGTTTGCGTGTATACTTCGCGTGGCTAAAGTTCTAAACTAACTGTCAAAACAAAACAAAGAATGCAATTTTATTGGCGATCATGCACATGCTCTCTTCGAGAGCTTTACCATACTTAAGTCAATTATCAGCAAACTTTATGAATTAAAATCAATTGTAGGCTATATGGAATAAGCTAACTCCTGTTAAAGATTAGTATAGACAAAACACATAGATAGAACAAAAAGTCCTTTGAAAAGTATATCAAAATGAAAAATGGATAATAAATATTTCAAACATATAAATCCGCTTATTAAAGAATAACAATTAACACAACTGGGAAAAATGTTCATGCCTTATAATCAGCCATATCGATGCAGATAAAACCGTCTAGATAGAACAAGTAACAATAACGAAAACAATTAGCAGATCCATGCCAATTAATTAATTATCGGACTTTGGATTTTTCTTAGTTTATACTCGCTTCAACAACTGCGCACCCCTCTCTTGTCAGTAAACACAGGTCGGAAGAAATCATCATGAGATTTTGACATTGTACTTTCATCAACTGTAACATAAAGACCGGCGTGTTATAATCTTGACGACTCATTTAACCTGCCATATATTGCCCGTGTTGTCGTAATTTTCAAATTTGATAAACAATTTTCGAAACCGTATTTTTAGATGTACTTTTTCATGTAGATTTCAAATTATGACATCACTTTGACTGAATTTTGAATATTTAATGACGTAAATCAAAATTATTTCTACTCGCATCTAGTCTACCTTGTATTTCAAGGGGAATCTGTGAAACAGAATACAAATATTATACGATATATTAAGAATGGAATGATAAAGTATGTAAAATTCCTGCTGAATATACAGTATGCATGTATGAATCTGGGAAATCTCTCGGTGTATCGAATGTTACGACGATCGGAACATTCACTGGTTTAATCCAGGAGGTTTAATCTCCCGACGTGATATACAGCAAGTACTCCCGGGCAAGTACAATCCTTTGGAATACCAAAGCGTTAGATAAAGTGAGACTCTAATAGATCAGAATGTCCCGACACGGAAATCAGAATGACAGAAATATAATTTTGAATAATTTTGGGAGGTAGGGAATCGCACAATTTTGTAATTCCAATGCTGCCCTTTGTGTTTTATCAACGTTATACAACGATGCAAACAAAACAGATCGTATTTAAATCTTATTCTAATTTTAATTCCTACATGAAATCTCAGCCCCCCCCCCCAAACACTAGTAACATTTTAAAGACTTTATCTAATTCAAACAATCAAATCAAATCAAAATTAAAACATGCAAACAGGTATATCTGCTTATGGAGGAATATCCGAAGAAATGTGTGACGCTGGTTTTCAGTCCTTAATCGCCGCTTAATACCTGAAAAGCAACTTATCTGCTTATTATAAGTTATCAAATAATTTAACAATTAAACAGAAACAATGCATGCCAAACATTTATCTATAATTGTTATATTATGGTTATTTTATAGTTTGCACTTGTATCGAGCAACTGTGTATCGGGCTGTGTATACGGGCCCTTTCTCAAACCCAATATGGGATTTAACACGTCACTTGAGGCAAGATTCATAAACTATATCTCCACGGGCTATAATTTGAAGAACGCCACTGACGGATCTGTCCCTTTTGGATGGGCCGTATTGTTCTTGTGTGTATCTTACCCACGGGAACCTACAAAACAGATATAATTGCATTGTGAAAAGGAAGTCCCGTCTCTATAAAACTTCCTAGAATAAGATTCAAGCAGTGTAAACATCCATATTTGCAAAAATAACGATAAACCACTGTCATTAAGTAGTTGTAGTACCATATTCGTATAGCTTTTGGGAAAGACGATAAAACGCAAAATATGATTGGAATATTTGCTGAAGTCTGGGATCGATGATCTGACAGAAAATTTAAGGAAGGCGTTGATCATGACTGAGCAAAATGAAAGAGCAAAGTAATAATAATTGCAATTTATGTTTATCATTTCAACTATTCCGAGTCAGAGAAATCAAGAATAAAAATGAAACTTTCCTTAGATATCTGTCGTATTGGCTTTACCGGGAAGGCTAGTTCTGGGGGGGGGGGGGGGGTAGCGCTTGTTTAAATTTTAAATTATTAAGATCAAAATGGTAAGGTCATATTGACGAATTTCCAAAATGACAAATTATTGTGCAGTGCGTTAAATTGGAATATCTTTTGATTCTTTTCCACTGGGGTACGCTAATATCCGATCTTAGTACTTCAATATTTTTGTTTGAAAGCAAGATCTTTAATGTAAACATCCGCATTTCAATATATCCTGAGACTATCATAGAATAATTCTGTGAATCCCAAGCACAACCCATTACAATATCAGTCTATAAGTCAATCTGTATTACAACAAATGAATAATAATCCCGAAAACAGTTCAACTATATTTGGCTTTGACTTATTTGTTTGAGAGGGATACGAAATCTAGGAATAAAAGTCACCGACGGTCCAACTTCAACGAACAATCTACATGTACAGACTTATCTTACTAATTTAAATAATTATTTGTCCTCATCGTGATTTGCCCGTCTGATTATACAGGTTTTACTTTCAATTTAGCCTCACTCAGACACACAAATAAAATGTAAAATTATAACATCATATTATAAAAACATTATCCAACCTCGAATTAACACTAATGAACACGATGTGATGACTTTATTACTATCTATGAGGAACCATTAAACAATTATGAACGAAATCCAGATACGTACAGTTTATTCATGAATTTGGAATATAATGTCGCAATTCATTCTAAATATCTGTTAAATATCGAATCTCTTACATTACGAATCTCTTATTAAAATATATTCTATTTATACAATATTGTTTTTCCCGTCATCCGTGATTTCCACATGTTGATTGTATTCTATTTTATCAAATGATCGGAAAGTAATACCATGAAATGAGTAGCATTAGACATGTTAGATTATACGCCCTTGAATTACACTTATAAACACGATGTGATGATTGTTTCATTTACTTAGAGGAACGCATTAACAGATTAATCAATTATGAACGAAATCCAGATACGTACGATGTAAGGATTCATATAGAAGGTAGTTTGCAAATGAATCCTGCCTTCAGGAAGGCAGGATTCATTTGTAAACTATATTGCATATGAATCCTGTATGATTCCTGGAGGCTGGATTCATTTGTAAACTATATTGCATATGAATCCTGTATGATTCCTGAAGGCAGGATTCATTTGCAAACTACCTTCTATATGAATCCTGTACGAATCCTGAAGGCTGGATTCATTTGTAAACTATATTGCATATGAATCCTGTATGATTCCTGAAGGCAGGATTCATTTGCAAACTACCTTCTATATGAATCCTGTACGAATCCTGAAGGCTGGATTCATTTGTAAACTATATTGCATATGAATCCTGTATGATTCCTGAAGGCAGGATTCATTTGTAAACTATTTAAACAGCGAATCCTGTATGAATCCTGGAGGCAGGATTCATACAGGATTCATATGTGCATATGAATCCTGTATGAATCCTGACTCCAGGATTCAGTGGTTTGATTCACATTTTTTGCTGTGCATGCTGTTTAGCAATGTCAGCTTAATAATTGCATGTTAAAGCTGTTATTTGCATTTATGTGTACATTCGTTCTACTTTTTGACAATAAAGTGGTCAAAACACGGATTTCGGAAGGATGTGCTGTTAACAAATGTCTCAATGGAGGTACATGTCGTGTTAGCAACGATGTGTCCATATGTGACTGCCCTCAAGAATACAGTGGTGATATTTGCCAGGAAAGTAAGTGATGGTGAATACATTACTCTCATAAAAGAAGAGATCTTGAAATTGGTTGTTCTATGGTTGAAAAATGTCAAGGTTGAAATATAATCAAGAAATAAATCATATTTTGCATCAACATTTAAATCCGATGATTAAACGCAAGGTGCAAGGGCAACATTGAAGAACATAGGCGTATTAAAAAGAGATAAAGTAGATTCAGTTACACCCACTTAGGTGACATACTGTTCTGTGAGTGAATACTCTTACTTAAACATATGGTATGAAGATAAATTAACTATTATTTCACTGCTATAGTACCAACACTCTGATTGATATTTGCCAGACATTGCACCAAAAATGAAGTTGTGCACCTAGCTCAATAATATGATGTCATATCAAAAGCATATTCATTAGTGTGTATTTCAAGTTGTCACATTTGTAACAAACAATTTTCTTCATTATCATAATTTATAAACAACATTGTTTGCAGCCATTTGAAAGATATACTAATCGATAAAACAATTAAAATCAATCGTGTCTACTATTGATGAATAATATGTTTGATCATGACATTATATTGCCATATTATTATCTTACCTGTGAAATGGGAATTATGATCCGTTCTACTATGACGTGGATGTTAACCAAAAAATTATTGTTCAAAATCGTATTGATCTAAAATGTAAGACAAATCTTGAATTATTCTATTGTAGGACAGGAGGATGTAGAAAGTTGTCGAACTAATACGTGTAAGTACAGAGGAAGATGTTCTATGGCAACCGGTAAAGTCACTTGCACATGTCCTGCTGGGACTTCCGGGGAAAGATGTGAAATAAGTATGTCTATTTTCAATTAGAAAATACAATTGTTCTTATAGTATGATAATCACAACACCTTTCAACCTTCACGTTCCATGTAAATACTTTTGCAAATATGTAATTCCCAATAAACATACGCTTTCAGACCCGGATGATTGTAAATCTAGACCGTGTCAGAATGGGGCAAGTTGTATCGATGGCCTCAATAAATACGTATGTAGATGTGTTCGGGGATACATAGGCCCCAACTGTGAAGAAGGTAACATGTAATACTTTAGAGAAAGGGGCAGTATTCAACAATAGTGCAAATTTTATGATTAAGCAATCCATATGTATTACCATTCAGAGCACTTGTGTAATCTTAACAATAGCCGCGCTTGTTCAGATGCAGCTATAATGAACAGTTCAGATTAATTCAGAGCGATTCTTTGATTTTGAGAATATACATCACAATCTTAACACGTGCCACTTTTTTGCTTAACCATACAGAATTAACGATTTAAGAACAATTCTGGTATTAAGATTTTGCCCGTTCTGATTTTATCCAGTCAAACATTTAGATGATATTCACAAGAATCGCTTAATTATCACAATGTATGATTCAGATCGCAAGATGGAATCATCGAAATTCTCAGCTAATGATTGTAATGATTGTAGTATAATCATATGTGCAGGACCATAACGATGCGGGATTCAGCCCACAAGACTAAAAATTGCGATGACTGAATTGTCTTGAATCAGCATGAATAAATCAGAAACGTGTAAACATTAGGGATTGTTTAGCGTTGCCCAAGTCGGTATTATCTTTTAATATTTATCTTGATTTTCGATTAATACACTGCCTTCAAATAGAATCAACTATTGTTGAATACTGTGCCTTTAGGTATGAATATAATCCATAAAGGTAGCAGAGATTAAATTCCAGAAAGGCGATCCAATAGAACATTGGAAAATCAAAAAGAAGAAACTGATAACTTGTGTTATATTATTATATTATATATTGGTTACCGCCAATACCTCATTGGTATATTCCGTATTTTACGTATTTTACACTCGAAGACAGAGCCAGAAACCCCTCCTTGGAGGAGCCCTGTGTTCTTTTATGTGCACAGGTACACAGACATACAGGTACACACCACAGCCTTTTATACGAGTCGTGAACCACTCAGTCAAACACCCAGAATTACATAACGCACAAACAAACTTGTCTGAACAAAGAAGAATGAATTTAAATTAAACTAATAACATATATTCTTTCAGATAAAAATGAATGTGAACGGAATCCATGTAAATATGGATCTGAGTGTATTGATTCTATTGGCAGGGCACTCTGTAAATGCCCTACTGGTTTGACTGGAGACTTTTGTCAATTTGGTGAGTATTGATTTTTTAATTGAGAACGTGACAGTTACTGCATAATGTAATTACAGTTCAATCAATTCATAGGTGCATTTAATATACTTTGTAAGCAAGCTAACTATCTGACCGCTTTAGCTTAATATATTTAAAAAGCACTCTAAGGCAATATCATCTGAACAAAAAATTGCATTTTTACTCTCAAAATTTCAATATATCACATCGGAACACCATGACAAAAGTCAGATATCGTTGTCACAAACGGCGGCCACAGGTTCGCATTCGATTCGATTTTCATTAATTGCATGTTTAAAAGAGCACCTAGATCAAATTCGTTTGGTATAAGAATCAATCAAAGTGTCTTTCTATTCATCGTATAGTTAAATATACAGATCAAAATATGACACAGGACAACGGATGCTGTATAGATGACAACATCCACCATAGGCCGTTATCACATCTTACCATGTGCCATTGTCTTTGTAAATTATTTCAAATTCAGATTCCGTTGTCATTGACGATATGGAACACGGTGAATTGTGTCGATTCACGACCATATTTGATCGAAATTGGGATTTCATATATACAACATCACAAGAGCTTAATACATGCACTGAATTAGCGACGATAAGGTCCCATGAAATGATTAGTAATTGATTAAAGAGTTGAAGCGACAGTTTGTCGTCCAACATTTGTGCCAACGGTATCTGACGTTATCATTGTCAGGGTGTTCCGCATCCTCCGAACGCAGGGTTCCAGACATCATCCACAAAGTTCCTTCAAGGAGGTACGAGTTCTGGAGGCCTGTGTTCGAAGGATGGGTGTTCCGGTGTGTCTTTACAATTATTTATAATTGATTCAAAATATATGACCTTCACATGTCAAAATTCCGATTATCAGAATGTGGGGCAGATATTTCACAATCAATTTCACTCAAAAGTCATGGAATAATGGGGCAATATCAATGTCATTATTGAAATATACCAAGAACTTTGACCACCATTTATGAACACTTTTTCTGTCCTCTGAAACTTTAATCTCGAGAAATCTTGAGACTTACAGCCTCATGTTGTTATAGCAGTCCTTTAATTGAGTGACATTGAATCTGAACCCCTGAAACCCCTGAAACTATGATTGATAACTGATTATAAATTATGATAATGTAGAAGCGTGCAAAACATTATTATATAGGTCCAAGATTGTTTGTTTTTCTGTTTCGATGTTGATACATAAATAACCTTAAAACATAACTAGATTTACTCAATTATCACTGCAAGGGGGAATCTTTCAATAGACAGAGGTCATAACATTACACGGGTCTTCATTGCAACTTTATATGATCTCTATATGATGACATTTCCAAAAAATCATTTTTCTTGAAAAGTACAGTGTCAGGGTATTATTCAATTTTGGTATCATTTTTGACATCTATACATTGAAGTATGAACTTCTACTTTATTACTTGGTGACCACTTAGAGTCACTGAGTCAAATATATGGGCGACCAGTAATGGCCAGACCGCACCCATAAGTTAATTTTAATTCATTGCATTCGAGCTACTACTTCTTATTCTTCTGAATATTTATTTTGTTATGTTTAGACAATCTGAATGAATGTAATCAGAATCCATGTAAAAATGGTGGACGGTGTGCTGATGGACCTGGGAAACCAATCTGTACATGCACTGCCCAATTTGTTGGTGATCTATGTGAACAGCGTATGTATATTACTGGGTATACTGTATATTGATTATTTATATTTAATATGCTGTTTATTTTCATGAAAAAACAAGTTCAACAATGTACGAGGGTTGATCCAAAAGTTCCGAACCGTTTGCTCTAAAAATCTTAATATTTTATGAATATTGTTCATATTTGGCCACAACCACCCCATATATAGTAGTTTCATTTTGTGTAAAAATAAACAATAAATTTGACTAGCAACATATGTGTCTGGTTACCATAGCAACATGACAACAGGGTAGGTGGAGCTGGAACAATTTTTACTTTATTCCGAATTACAGCTATTTCAGATCATTTCAATTCATGGAGTTTCTCCCCCATAAAATCTCATACAATAGGTAATTATAGTTCATAAGTTCATTCGCCTTCAAAATAGTCACCACCATGTGCTACACATTTCTTACAGCGTTTCAACTAGTCGTGAAATACATATGATGAAGTTCACCTTTAGCTGTAGCATTAACGCTTTTAGTAAATGCCTGGATAAGGTCAGCTTCGTCATCGAAATAGATACCACGCATTGGTTTCTTGGCCTCAGGAAACATATGAAAGTTACATGGTGCAATATCAGGAGAATATGGCGGATGGGGCTGTAGTTGGGCCTGCAAGCACTAGTGTTTTGCCTCTATTGTAACATTGGCTCTGTGGGCTTGGGGATTATCAAGGTGAAAGTAGAAGTTCCAAAGGAGATCTTGTCATTTTTTCTCATAGCATCTTTAAGATCTTTCTTCAGCACTTCGAACACATTTTTAACTGAGTAAGTGTCATACCTAATTGATTGACTCAAAACAGATCAACATTCCTCATAAAAATAATCTAGTTAACAACTTTATAAATGAGTGTTACTGTTAAGGTTTTGTAACTGACATTTGAATAATAAGGTCCATTGGCGGTGGCGATGAACCAGGATAACTGTGTCGTACTCTTGCTCCACCTACCCTGTTGTCATGTTGCTATGGTAACCAGACACCTATGTTGCTGGACAAATTTATTGCTTATTTTTACACAAAATGAAACTACTATGTATGGGATGGTTGTGGCCAAATGTGAACAATATTCATAAAGTATTAAGATTTTTAGAGCAAACGGTTCGGAACTTTTGGATCAACCCTCGTATATTGATCGCTTGAAAACCAGTTATCGGATAGGCAACCACTTTTTGTGAATAATATAATTTTTCATCACTCAAATACCAGTACACACATTTTATGTACCGATCCTCACCACTTTCTGTAAGAAATATAATTTTATATAACTCAAATACCAGTTTTCAGATTGGTACACAACTTAAAAGTTAAAACCTGTCCAAATGTTAACCCTATACGTCTTATTGAAATAGGATCTTTGATATTAAAGTCATTTCGAACATGGCTGCAAGAATTAGCAACAATGTTTAAGTCTATATTGTAAAGGCTACGTAAATATGATCAAACTGCCTACTCCTGAAAACAAAATGTTAATATGGTGTTATGTCACATTGAGGCTGAAAATTGCAATTAGCTTTTGGAGCTCACTTCTGTGCATCTCTAGTGTTTGATTTAAAAGTTCTTCCATTATGAAAATTAAGTCTATGCTTATACAATTTTTCAATGCGAATTGAAATAATGTTTTGATAAACATCGTCTCTTTGTTATAGCCAGAGATGATTGCCATCCAAATCCTTGTAAGTTTGATGGAACATGCACTAACACTGGATCTGCCAAGGATGGTGGATTTACTTGTCGTTGTAAGACTGGTTACACTGGATCAACTTGTGCAACAAGTAGGTGTCAAAAATCAGTATGTAGTTGGTGTCAAATCATCATATGTTATTGCCATCATAAATCCTTTTAATTATGCAGAACTAGGGCAAAATAAGGACTATATTTGCACTCGGGTTCGATTACAAATTTATGAATGCAATACTAATAAAATAACGTCATTTCTGCGGGCAATATAGTAAAATTTGGACCGATTATTACCAGGTTAACGACAAGGGCTGAAATAGCAAGAAAATCTTACGCCGCACTGAACGATATCTAATTTCCCGGGGAAAGTTGTCGGTCATTAATTACATTATTGACTGCCATTATGGACCACCACGATGACGTCACATATTGCTCAGGTCGATATAGTAAAATGAATGCCTTCTAAACTAGCACTAAAACTGGCCCGGCAAGGTGGTAATAATTTATGTTAGTACATTGCTCTTGCAGAGAGTGTTCTATAATTGTATATGTGTGGTTTTAGATATCAATGACTGTCTACCGAATCCCTGCAAAAATCGAGGTCGGTGTAAAGATGGTGTCAACAGCTTTTCCTGTGTATGTCCTTCTGGTTGGGAGGGCTCGCTATGTGAAAAAGGTACAATACAATAGAGTCGATGTTAACATTTTTGCATTTACATTTTATATATTAGATAATATTTGTGAAAAGCAAGATATACACATGTGTATAGGGGAAGACAACTTAGGTTTTGATATTGTGGGGTTTCCACATTTGGATAGCACATTTATGCCCAACGTGTTGGAACTGGTGTCCCAGCTTCTTTGATTTGACAGGGCGTGCTCAAAATATTTAGGTTTTTAGTCGCAACATGGTGTTTTGGTGATAACGCTCCTTGGCAAGGGTTTTGCTTGAAGAAACTCGGAGGTACATTCTTGGCTTTGCCGAAATGTACAAGCCTTTTCCACTAGGCACCTTATTAGGTGAATCCGGGCTGTTACATTATTGGTTAAAGTTAGGGATTAAAAGCAGCCAAAGTTTTCTCCTGATGACCATTGTGAAATATTGTTTTTTATGGATTATAGCGTCGACTTTGCGCTGTCCCAAATCATTTGAGACTGGATGCTTTATCGCGTATGAACTATTTTTGATGTTACGAGTATTTGCTATCACTTTCAAATTTATTTTCAATATGAATTGTAGAGTTCAGTATTAATAAAATGCTCCTTGATAATATATGGTCTCGGATTGTCATGGTCGGGAGGGGGATTAGATACTGTTTCTTCTCACGTTGGATTATGATTAAGGGCAGTTGAGATTCGTTTCCCTTATGACTGGTATACTCTTAGATGTTTTCTTTTCCTTGCTGTGTTCTGTAACCATTTTTGGTACTTTCAGTTCACATTGATATTTTCAAATACATATTTTGCACATCATTGATTCATCGTTGACACTTGCGCATACATCTTTACATTGTTAGAAACATTGAGTCAACTTCCTTACAAATTTCAATTTAATATCAAAATGATTTGACCAATGTGATCTTTATATTGTAGATGTGAATGAATGTCTTCTTAGAAGGTGTCTGAATGGTGCAAAATGTGAAAATACAGATGGGTCGTTTAGCTGCACTTGTGTACCAGGATTTGGAGGGACAACCTGCTCTGCGAGTAAGAAATATAAATTCTATTTAAGAATAGTATTTAATTAAATGTGCAATTTCTTTAATGAATGCACGTACATGTAAGTCCATCATTTGATGTGAATACCAGATGGTAATAAGGCCCATACAACAGAGTAGCCTAACCGTACCCCAATGACTGCAAGGGGGACCTCCTCGATTGTTAATAGTACTTTTTGCATTTTTATTGTGTCTCCGTTATTTTTTTCGCTGGAGCGGGTAGAAGGGCAAAGTTATGATAGTTAGAATTTGATGCCAATAAATTTGAAATTCATAAAATATTGATACTTACCTTGTTTCCCATACTCTAGAATATGCAGTGATGGTTATTGCTATGTTTGACAAATAATCATTTTGACTACTTAATTATTTTTTTCAATATGCTTTATTTCATGAACATTGAGCCACTATTGACTATGTTATGAATTTTTAAAGGTAAAAACAGTTAATCGCCTATATTCACGAATTGCGTTCTTTTCACGAATTTGAGAAAAACTGCTTGATGTATACCGTAGGCATTAGGCAAAGCATAGACCTGAAGTATATTGAAGTAACACAACGTCGAGCATTGATCTATTTTCTCACTAAATCACTGGTTGGTATTTTTTTTTTCTTTTAAAATAGTCTTTATTCAGCTTTTGGTTATTTTACATAACATAAACAATGACATAAAGTAGATAATAGATGGTTGGTATTTATTGCACATCTAAAAATATGAATGCTAAGGACAAAACAAGTTGAACTTAAAATTGTTGATAATTCAATAACGCGTTACATTGGTCTCAATGGTATTTCGTGATACCTGCTATCTTTGAAAGTGCATAGGTTCAGCTATAGAAAAGCGTTTACCTTGATCTTAGTTTTATTTGAAAGATACAATATTATTTTAAGAAGCGTAGCGTTTATGGCACCGACAATCATTTTGAAATTGACAGTTTCACGCCCGGTGATCGTAAAAAAATGATGGAGGGGGGGATTAGGCGATTTCTGCAAGAAGACTCAACAAATGGAAGATTTATTTTTTCAAGAGAAAATTTGCAACTGAATTGCCAAATGAATAGGCGCAATGTATGGCAAAATATGTTAGGTCATCTCGTATTTTTTTGAACTGATACCCTTCTAAGATATGAGATCTATTAAAAAAGGCGCATCATCACCAACGTGCAAAAGTCAATGTTTTTGCTATAAATCGGGCAACAATGGTCTATTAGAGTTAGTTTTCATGCGTTATACAAAAAATAATCGAAATGTATTAATTTGGGATGGAGGGGGGATCGGATGGAGGGGTGGGATCACGTGTATATAATACATGATAAGACATGCTACTTGAATTTATTCTTATGACTCCAAATTTTCCCATTTTTCATTCTCCAGAGATATGATATCCAGTTTCTTACTGGGCTACTGAATTTGGTTTTTTCAAATACACGAGTTCTTGTGAATTTGTTCCATCGTAAAGATATATAAATCCCCCCTCCATCCGATCCCCCCTCCATCCAAAATTAATTTATTTCGATTATTTTTTGTATAACGCATGGAAACTAACTTTAAAAAGTGAGCAATGTCATAAGTGTTGTGACAATTGAAAAATAAATCTTCCAAATTTGTTGAGTTTTCTTGCAGAAATCGCCTAATCCCCCCTCCATCATTTTTGTACGATCACCGGGCGTGAGTTTGTTAAAGTACACCCTAAGTCGATTTGACCGTTGTTGACCAACTATTTTAAAAAGTAAAATACGTTTTTGAAGATTGTATTGAATAAAGATTTACAACAATACCAACATTATTGAAATCTACGAAGCCTTATAAGGGACATGAATTTTTTTCGTAATTAAGAATTTTAGTTTTAATTAAAAAATTTCCTCGAATAATTTATTTTTTTAATTTAAAATTTTACATGAATTTTCACCTTGGTGAAAATTATTTCCACCTCGGTAGAAGCTATTTCCAAAGCAGTGAAAAAAATTTCCACCGCGCGTAAAAATAATTTCCACCGGTGGAAATTATTTCCACCGGTGGAAATTATTTTCACCGCGGTGGAAATTATTTTCACTGCTTTGGAAATTAATTTCCACCTCGGTAGAAACTATTTACTACGCTTAAAAAATAATTTTCACCGCGATGGAAATTATTTTCACCGCGGTTAAATTAATTTCCACCGAGGTGGAAATTGTGTGTGTCATGACCTTATTACAGAGCTCTTCAAAATTGGAGAAACATATGCTAAGCCATTCGGTATAAATCTGAAATCAAAATGAAGACTGTGGAAAGCCAAGAAGATGAGTAATCTCCTTGTACGTTAGGGTGGCTCAAAATAATTTTTTTTGGAAATGTTATGCTCCCTACGTGAATCGAGTTGCATTTTGGGGTAAATATGACGTGTGCTTTTTTTCAAATTTTTTAGTAAACTTTTAGGGGTCCCCCACAGCCTTTGAAGTTTGCCCATAGGTTTAACATTAGTGGGCGTCGCCCAAAATCGTACTTTATAGAAGCTTTTTTTCTAGTGATTTATTTATGTTGTTTGAAGAAAACCAACATTGTATATGATATGATTAGATGTTTAAATCATAATATAACTCTGTTTCATCATGTGAACTTATATAAAAGGTTATACTTACAATATCCTATTAACAAAATATCAGGTACATTCGACCAGTATAATTATTTGAACAAGTACAGTTTTAGAGAATCATGTCTCATATATGATTTGGTATTGTCATTATAATGGTTTAAACTGTAAAAGCATCCATGTAGAAAATTACTTCAGTCTGGCATTATCCTGGGTTCCCACAAACTACATCTTTGATGTGCATTGAATTAACCCTTTGGCGGGGAAGAATAGGTGCATTTAATTATCTTGGATTTAACCATGTCAACAAAATAGGAAACAGCCCTAGAGTGAACACATTATTTTCAAATTGGCTCATTATTAGTATGTTGCATATTTCCAGCAATTGTTGTAATCTTCCTCTTATAATCTTAATATGTAGCTTCTTTCAACACTTGCTTTTAAATATGCATTTGGAAATACTATTTGCCATCTTTATAATTGCAAAAATGTTATCTTTTGTAACACCATTGATAGCACTCTGGGTTGTACAATTACCTTCAAAACATCAAATTAATCCAAGGTCTATATGCATGTTTGTTTTCACAATGAGTTGTTTTCTATTAATACCAGGAAGTTCAATTTTTCTAAATCTAGCATTTCATGAAGATGTGTTAAGACAACTTCTCCTATTAGCATTTGATATAAAACCAAATCCAGGCCCAAACAATTATACCGAAAATGTGAATATTCTGTTTACAAATATTAACAGTCTCTCAGCCGACAATGGAAACAGGTTTGAAAGTCTTAAGTTATTGGTTAAACAAGAAAATATTTCAATTGTGAGTCTGTGTGAAACTGGTAACAAATTAGATATATCAAAATATGATATAATAGGCTTTCATAAATTAGATCAGTCACTGTATGATTCTAAAGGTCGTGGCATTATTGTCTATATAAAGGACTCTTTGAAATTTAAAGTCAGAGATGATTTAAATGATCCAAATATCGAGTGCCGGTGGATTGAAGTCACTGTTGAAAATAAGTCCTTTTTGTATGGAACATTCTATCGGTCGCCATCACAAAATGCCAGAAATCGCGACAACTATTTTAATTACCTTAACAATAATATAAATAAGGCGACTAAAGTTAAATCAGATGGGATATTCTGTACAGGTGATTTTAATGCTCGTAGTACCCACTGGTGGGAAAAAGACATAAATACCACTGAAGGAACAAGGCTTTATGATATTTCAGTCGAGAACTCTCTCTCTCAATTAGTGAAAGAACCAACTAGATGTGTGAAAAATAGTCGTTCATGCTTGGACTTATTTTTCTGTGACTCTCCAGGATATGTCTTGGAAACTTGTACTAAATCGCCTATAGGATCTGACCATTCTTGCATTTACAGCAAACTAAATCTCAAAACTGCAAACACTGATTCAAATACTGTTAGAACAACTTGGCAATATCAGGATTGCAATGTGTTTCATCTTAATAGAGCAATATCTCAGTATAACTGGGAAAACATCTTTGCTTTAACAGACATAGATAATATGACTGAGATTTTTACATCAACTGTTTTATCAATATTTAGTGATCATATTCCCAGGAAAATAAAAGTTTTAAAAAGCAAAGATATGCCTTGGCTTACAAAGGAAGTCAAGAGTTCAATTAATAAACGTGATAAGCTCTATAGGAAACTAAAAACTGACCACACAACTGAAAATTATGAAAAATTCAAAATCCAATCAGATGTAGTTAGTAATGCAATCACAAAAGCCAAATTGTCCTATCATGAATCTATTTGTACTAACTTGGAAGCAAACTCATCAAATAGTAAATTTTATTGGATCGCAATCAAGAAATTACTTGGTAAAAAGTTTTGTTCAGATATTCCTATGTTGACAAAAACGGACATTTTGGCAAAAAACAACAAAGAAAATGCAGATTTACTTTTGCAACAATTTCTGACCAAATTCCATCACAATTTTGATGAACTTAACTCTCCAAATATTCCATCAAAAACAGATCAAATCTTAGAAAGTATTGACTTTTCAAAACAAGATGTTAATAAAATTTTGTGTGACCTTAATACTACCAAGCAAGGTGGACCAGACGGAATAACAAATAAAATGTTGAAAATGTGTTGCGACAGTATAGACCAACCATTATTTGATCTTTTCAAAAAAGTTATAGAATTTAACACGTTTCCAAGTTCCTGGAAACTAGGAACTGTCGTTCCAATTTTCAAAAATAAAGGTTCCAAATGTGACCCCAAAAATTACAGACCAATTACTCTGTTAAACAATGTTTCAAAAATATTTGAACGATTGATATACAACAATATGTTCAAATATGTCATTGAAAACAATCTGATCTATCAAAATCAATCCGGGTTTCTTCCGGGTCATAGTACTGAAAAACAATTAATAACAATA